TTCGCGTGTGTAAATCTGGCTTACACCCGTTGTATGTGAACGTAAGAATCTATCACACCCGATCATCACGTGGTGCTTCGAAACGACGAACTTTCGCAACGGTGCACAGTTAGGGGGAACACTTTCTTGAAATTTTAATGAGGGATCATCTTATTTACTACCGTTGTTCTAAGCAAATAAGAGTCATAAACATGATAAACATCACATGCAATCAAATAGTGACATGATATGGCCAATATCATATTGCTCCTTTTGATCGCCATCTTCGGGGCTCCATGATCATCATCGTCACCGGCATGACACCATGATCTCCATCATCATGATCTCCATCATCGTGTCTCCATGAAGTTGTCTTGCCAACTTATTACTACTACTACTATGGCTACCGGTTAGCAATAAAGTAAAGTAATTACATGGCGTTGTTCAATGACACGCAAGTCATACAATAAATAAAGACAACTCCTATGGTTCCTGCCGGTTGTCATACTCATCGACATGCAAGTCGTGGTTCCTATTACAAGAACATGATCAATCTCATACATCACATATCATTCATCACATTCTTCTTGGCCATATCACATCACATAGTATACCCTGCAAAAACAAGTTAGACGTCCTCTAATTGTTGTTTGCATGTTTTATGTGGCTGCTATGGGTTTCTAGCAAGAACGTTTCTTACCTACACAAAAACCACAACGTGATATGTCAATTGCTATTTACCCTTCATAAGGACCCTTTTCAATGAATCCGATCCGACTAAAGTGGGAGAGACTGGCACCCGCTAGCCACCTTATGCACAAAGTGCATGTCAGCGTGGAACCTCTCTCACGTAAGTGTACGTGTAAGGTCGGTCCGGGCCGCTTCATCCCACAATACCGTCGAAACAAGATTGGACTAGTAACGGTAAGCATATTGAACAAAATCAACGCCCACAACTATTTTGTGTTCTACTCGTGCAAAGAATCTATGCAATAGACCTAGCTCATGATGCCACTGTTGGGGAACGTAGCAGAAATTCAAAATTTTCCTACGTGTCACCAAGATCTATCTATGGAGAAACCAGCAACGAGGGAAAGGAGAGTGCATCTACATACCCTTGTAGATCACTAAGCGGAAGCGTTCAAGAGAACGGGGTTGAAGGAGTCGTACTCGTCGTGATCCAAATCACCGGAGATCCTAGTGCCGAACGGACGGCACCTTCGCGTTCAACACACGTACAGCCCGGTGACGTCTCCCATGCCTTGATCCAGCAAGGAGAGAGGGAGATGTTGAGGAAGACTCCGTCCAGCAGCAACACGATGGCGTGGTGGTGGTGGTGGAGGAGCGTGGCAATCCTGTAGGGCTTCGCCAAGCACCGCGAGAGAGGAGGAGCACTTGGGAGAGGGGGAGGGCTGCGCCAGAACTTGGGGTGCGGCTGCCCTCCCACCCCCACATATATATAGGGGCAAGGGAGAGGGGGATCGGCCCCCTCAGATCCAATCTAAGGAGGGGGCGGCGGCCAAGGGGGGGAGGAGTGCCTCCCAAGTCAAGTGGAGGCCCTCCCCCTTAGGGTTTCCCCTCTCCCATGCGCATGGGCCTTGGGGGGGGGCTGGTGCCCCTGGCCCATTAAGGCTAGGGCGCCCCCCTACAGCCCATGCTACTGTATTGGACGTGGTGGAACAATTTCCGGACCTCCGGATCCCTCTGGAATCCTCTGGAACCTTCTGGAAGCTTCCCGGTACAATAGCGAAAAAACCCGAACTTTTTCCGGAACCCGAACAACAACTTTCCATATATAAATTTTTACCTCCGGACCATTCCGGAACTCCTCGTGACGTCCGGGATCTCATCCGGGACTCCGAACAACATTCGGTAACCACATAAAAACTTCCTTTATAACCCTAGCGTCATCGAACCTTAAGTGTGTAGACCCTACGGGTTCGGGAACCATGCAGACATGACCGAGACGTTCTCCGGCCAATAACCAACAGCGGGATCTGGATACCCATGTTGGCTCCCACATGTTCCACGATGATCTCATCGAGTGAACCACGATGTCAAGGACTCAATCGATCCCGTATTCAATTCCTTTTGTCTAGCGGTATTGTACTTGCCTGAGATTCGATTGTCGGTATGCCGATACCTTGTTCAATCTCGTTACCGACAAGTCTCTTTACTCGTTCCGTAACACATCATCCCGCGATCAACTCTTTGATCACATTGTGCACATTATGATGATGTCCTATCGAGTGGGCCCAGAGATACCTCTCCGTCACACGGAGTGACAAATCCCAGTCTCGATTTGTGCCAACCCAACAGACACTTTCAGAGATACCTGTAGTGCATCTTTATAGCCACCCAGTTACGTTGTGACGTTTGGTACACCCAAAGCATTCCTACGGTATCCGGGAGTTGCACAATCTCATGGTCTAAGAAAATGATACTTGACATTAGAAAAGCTTTAGCATACGAACTACGATCTTTGTGCTAGGCTTAGGATTGGGTCTTGTCCATCACATCATTCTCCTAATGATGTGATCCCGTTATCAACGACATCCAATGTCCATGGTCAGGAAACCGTAACCATCTATTGATCAACGAGCTAGTCAACTAGAGGCTTACTAGGGACATGGTGTTGTCTATGTACCCACACATGTATCTGAGTTTCCTATCAATACAATTATAGCATGGATAATAAACGATTATCATGAACAAGGAAATATAATAATAACTAATTTATTATTGCCTCTAGGGCATATTTCCAACATATCTTTCATCAAATCCGGTGTTTCATGCTCGGACGAAACACACTGAGGTAGACTATCATTTTGTTCGGAAACGCGTTGCACAGAAGCTCCTCAGTATCAAGTTAATCTCGTCAAAGGATCAACTTGCTGACATCTTCACGAAGCCTCTTCCACAACCACAATTTGTAGGTTGTAGGCCCAATCTTAACTTGCTTTGTACCTCAAGCCATAGTTAAGATTGAAGGAGGGTGTTAGACTGTATATATACGAGAACTCTTGTATACACCTGTATTTGTACTGTACCCTTTGATACTCCTATATAATGAGATAGCCACGCCCGTTTAGGATGTCGAGCAGTTTCTGAAACTATATATTTTACAATAAGTGCTACTAGTAGCTGCCCAAGTTTTAGATGATGCCCATGTGATATTTTCCTTCGTATTCACACACACATCTCATCTCGGCAAATTCCTCGCCGGACCGCTGCGGCCAGGTCACCGGTCAACACCTATTGAAGGCACGGCCACACCCCTACATATGGTTGCTGTTGACCATGGAGCCATGCAAGGTGCAAGCCGCCCTTCACCACCCTCCTCGCTGTGAAACGCTACAAATGCAAACTAATCATAGTTGGTTCTAGTCTTCTTCTCTCAGTCACGGAGGCGTGAGTGTATCCCCGCGGCAGGACTCCTTGTGTCCATCCTTTCCCTGTCGTTCTCGCTCCGGTTCGGCTGTCGGAGATAGCGACTTGCTTAGGCGTGGTCTGTATGCGTCGATGGACTGGACGACGACGACATTGTAGCTAACTATAGTGATAACAGAAAATCAATGCGACAACACACAACACCACAAGTGTTGAGCTGTAGAGTGGTTTAGATGTTGTAATTTCAACAGTAATGGCATGAGAGCCATCTCCAATAATCGTAGTACTGCGTGACATGCAGACTGTACCCTGGTACCTGGGCATGGAATTTTCCTTCCCTTCCAGCTGCTTCTCCTCTCCCCCGAGGCGTTAGGCGTGCAATAGTACTCCTGCAGCGTGCAGTTGAGGCATGTATGCTTGTCTGATGCCTCGCTGCCCCAGGTCCCATGTGGCGCCAGCACCACAGGAACGGAACGGGCTCGTCTACCGTGCTGAAAGGCACGGCAGGGAGCTACAGTAGCCACGCAGTGGGAATCACAGACGACACTGCAGGGCCCTATAGTACTATGCACTGTAGCGAATCTACTGTAGTAAATCTGTACTGTAGCGGGCACCCTGTAGCACCACACTGTTCATGAGTTCCTGTAGCGCGCAGTGGAAAATCACAGAGGCACTGCCTGTAGCGCGCAGTGGAAAATCACAGAGGCACTGCAGGCTACTATAGCTCCTCTACCGTGCCTTCAGCACGGTAGACGAGCCGGTTCCCACAGGAACATGCCATGGATGCGTACTATAGAGTTTTTCAGACTCCAATGCACACTTATCTCATAATTTTACGAGCCCGGCCCGTCACTGAAAGTTCTCGAATGAATTCTTGCATTGTTTTGCTCGAAGAAGAACGTAGGATAGAACTGAAAATTCGCAGTGAAAAAGTAGAATGTAGAAACAGTAGAAAATGCAAATTATCAGGCGACCAAACCCTGCTCCATCAGATCATCAGATTAAACAAACCAAGAGAGAGAGCCGACCAGATTCCTACTCAATTCACACACACACACGCAGGCGCCTGGAGTGGCAACCCGTGCCTGCCTGCTTCATAACTTGGCATCCGATCCGCTCACGTCTGAACACCGAGCACAGGAGGAGAAACAGCTTCACCGAGTAGAGCAGAGTAGCCATCGAACACTGGAGCCGATGGTGCTGGCATCACCTTTTTAGGCAGATCGCGCAGACTTTTTCTCGCGAGTCCCCACCGCACACCGCACCGTCGTTTGACGCGAGCACCCACTCCCCGTGTCACCATCCCTCGCCGCACGCGCACCATTAGACTGGAGTGAGTAGCAAATAGCACGCCGCACCGCCGCCCCACCGCGACCCGTCACTCCGCACTCGTGGTGGAGTGGAGAGCGTGGCTGGCGGCGGGCCTGCCTCTTCCTCGCCCTCGCGCCTCGTGGTGGCGCTAGTAGGAGCAGTAGCAGCCGGTAAACCCGCACCTAAACCGCAGTCTCCCATCGCCACACTCCGCGGCACGGGCACGGCACAGATCCCCCACTCTCCCCCGCCGGGTCGCGCGCGGCGGCAAAAGCAAGCGAGCGAGCGAGCCTTTTCCGGCCACCTACGCCTCGGGGCGGATGCGCGCGGATCGCGTCATGGCGGAGTCGGGCAAGCGGATCGACCTGGCCGCGCCGCTGCGCTCCGCGCGCCTGCCGTACCACAAGGCCGACCTGGACTCCGGCCCCGTCCGCCACCCCGGCGCCGTGCCCTTCGTCTGGGAGCAGAGCCCCGGCCAGCCCAAGAGCGTCCGCACCCGTCGCCCGGTTCCGCACTCGCCCTCGCCCTCGCAGCCGCGCCCGGAGGAGAACGGCGCCACCCCTTACCACGGCGCCCTGGGCGAGCGCGATCGCGCACTGCCAAACGTCATCCCCGCCGCCGCCGCCGTGCCCCGAACTGGCGCCGCGGAGCGTGAGGTGGAGAGGGCGGAGGTCGAGCCGACGAGGAAGGAAGCCACGACGCCGGACGTGCTGTCCGTGGCTGATGTGCTGCGGAAGGAGGAGGAGGACGTCGGCGATGACGAGGAGAGGTTCTCGGACGCGCTGGACACGCTCTCCCGCACAGAGTCCTTCACCGTGAACTGCAGCGTCAGCGGTCTCAGCGGCGTGCCGGACCGCCCCGCGGGTGCGGGTGCGGCCGCCAGCGCCGAGCCCGGCGCCCGCGGCCTCATGATGGACCGCTTCCTACCGGCCGCACAGGCGGTGGCCGTGGGCTCCCCGCAGTACACCTTCCGCAAGGCCAGTGTAGCTGGCTCCACCGGCAACTCTGCCCGCGAGCATGCGCATGCCGCTGCGGCCAATTGGAGAATGGGCAGCGATGATGATCGCGTCAGGAGAACACCTGTCCAGCTCCCTTACCAGAATCTGCCTCCCAATTATTTGTCTTGCAACTATCCCAGACGCGATGAGCATGAAGAAGAGGAGGAAGAAGAGGATGAGGATGACTTCGACGTACACAGTACCCGAGGTTTTGCATCCAAGGGGTGTGGTTTGCTCCCTGGATTGTGCGTAAAAACCTCCTTGTTACTACTGAATCCAATGCCTATGATGAAGGGTGGCAAGGGGCGTCGGGGAGGAAGAGGCAGGGGATTGGTATCCAAAGGCAGGGGCCAGAAGGCACCGAGCCCTCTTGCCCGGAGCTCACAACGTAAGAATCTTGGCTGTGATTCTAATGGGGTAAGCAGATGCACACAACAATGCTTCATGAATTCAGAGTTATGTTGCTTCTTGACAATTTCAGGAGTGGTAGTTCTAAACATCTCAATCTCTGTTATATTGCAGCAATACTGGGAGGAAGTTTATAAGCACAAGTTGGAACAGAAGTACATTAACCAAGGAGAGGATAGGAGGAGCAAGCTGACAAGTGAGTCGAACCATCTGACATTCTGGAGTGACTCTCAAACTGGCGATGGGTCTTCACCATTCCGCCACTCCATAGGTGGTGGCATGTCTCCCTACCGCCGCGACGTTGCCTTGTCACCATCACGTAAAGCAAATGGGTCATTTGAAGTAAGAGATAAAGATGAGAAAATGAGTAGAAGCAATGGCTCTAGCTCACTTGGAATAGACCATGATCATGGCTCGTTGCTTGGATCAGATCACAGTTCTTTGAAGGGATCAAGCTCCATGAGCTCAGGGGGCGATAGAACATTGCATGAAGATTCAATGGATCACCGTTCAGGTATTGATTCAGAAGCTAGTCAGTTGACCCTGCCATTGGATCCAAAGGCATCTTTGAATTCAGGGTGTGATGTTCAACATGGAGGACACCAGATAGTCAGAAGTAACAGCATAGTGGAAGTTCAAGACAATGATACGTTGACAAAAACAATCGCCAAAGTGCCAGAATCCATTTCATTAATACCTTCCGGAAACGCAGGATCAGTAAAACTGGATGATAGAAAAACTCATGATAGTAGTCAGGATGTTCCAGTACATTCGGAAGATAATATCGCCGTCAAGAAGGAAAGTATGCCTTTGCAATTTCTAATGCCGTTACCTGTCCCAAAGTCGCCTTCAGATTCTTGGCTTTCTCGCAATTTGCCATCTGTGAAGAATAAACCACCTGCACCATCTTTTCTTGGAATCCAAGTACAGTCCAAGAAACAAGCTCCCTGGGCCTCCGCACATCCAAAGGAGAATGATCTTAAACCTCCCAGGACACGCCAAATAAGATTTGCAGATGTAATTCATAACTTCACTCTGTTCTGCCTATGTTTCTATTCATCTTACTTCTCAGAGCCATTACTGACTGTTTTTATTTGCCTGCTTATTTAGGTGGTGGAGAGGCCTTATTATCTGGATACTGAGATATGATATCTTCCTTTGAGACCAGTATATATTCATGATATGATTCCTGGGGGGGACATCAGTCCTATATCTGCGACTGCCAGCGCCCAATGGTTAGGCATAGAGGTGCCCTGTTTTGCTGTTGTAGTGATGGCTGGGTACCACTTACCAGCGATCCAGCATGTTGGTAAATTCGATGCACATGCCTGTTTGCGTACTATTTGCTTTATGTTGCCCAAGGTATGTTGGTAGTGGTTTAGCTCTGTTGCAAATCGTATTTCTATACAGGATTGCTTCTGTTTGCTTCATCTTACTGTCCATAAAATATGTAATACTGTTTACTCTGTAAAAACGTTGAGTTGATCTTCAGTTGTATCATAGGATGCAATTCCAATATAAGTCAGCCTTTTGTTCCCAAGACATTTCCTGTGCAATGTAAATGGCATCTCTCTGGTGATGCATGTCTTGCTAGTTTCCAGTAATACTGGCATTACCTACTGGAACAGCATATAGTGCCTTATCTGGTTTTGTGTAGACAGACAGACTTCGTCATGTCATAGCCTTTTTCTTGTATTTTTCAAAACAAGCTTATTCAGTGTATGTCATGTCTAGCAATTGCATCTGTCAGGTTTTGTTGGTGATTGGTTTTTAGATGGAAAATGTATATCACATTTTTTTTTCACCATAAAAAGGGCAACCTGGTGCATGTAGCTCCCGCTTGCGCAGGGTCCAGGGAAGGGTCCGACCACTTTGGGTCTATAGTACGCAGCCTTTCCCTACATTTTTGTCACCATAGTGTATATAAAAATATAGCACAACTCGCATGCAGAAAAGTTGGAGACTCTGAGCTTCAGATGTGCTCTAAAAAACAGCCTATATATTTGGTGTATAATCTCAGTTCTCAACTAAGACATAGGATTCTCATAACGAAGTGGTAATCCACATCTGCACTCTTGTTTTGTGTTGACTTGTTACATTCTGTTTATCGAAGTGGTTGACTTGGTGCATCATGTCTCTCCGTTATTTTACGTCTCTCCGTTATTTTACGGGGAAGTATTGGTACTGAACTTATTATTATTGAACGAGTGATTCAACTAGGACACTGCTGATGCTGTTATGTTGGTTGAGACTAAGATATTTTCTTATGGCTATTAAGCATCCAAAGACCTAGCTGCTCTTGATTCGAACACGCTTAGAGAGCAGATAGATATTCCGCAAATCGACCTGTATGTGTTCAAAAAGGAAAGACTGATTTGTTCAGATACTATATGTATTCCGTATTTGCACTGCAAAAATGGACCTGTATGTGTTAAAAAAGGGAGACTGATTTTGTTAATCATATTTTGTATGTTCATAAAGTTCATGTACTCTATGTGCAAAGGCTGGCACGGCGGTTTCCTTTCAGGAAGGAGATGGACAAATCAAAACTTCTCTGAAATCAGATATTTACGATTTTACGATCCAAACTAAGCTCTCCGATTCTATGATTTTGTCACTAGAATCTACATACGTTTCTATTATTCTGATAGTTAAGATTAGATTTTTACGATATGCGATCTTATCATCAGAGCTTTGATCCGATTCTGATTCTAACAGTTAAAATTTTATGATTCAGACCTGTGATCTGATTCAGAATCACGATTTATGACGTGCTCCTCTGTTTTGGGTACACACTCCACGGCTTCATCCGGCAAAGCCACAGCCACCCAACCCAGCTGCATCACATGGTGTAGGATTTTCGGCTCGAACAGCGTGCAGACACCATCGGGCTACCGGTTCGTTCATTCATCCCGCACGCACCTACACGCTGACGCAGCTCTCGGGCGCCGCCGCCAGGGCAATGGAGTCCGACCCCGACCGCGGCGTCTCCCTCCTCTCCCCCGCCCCAAACCCTAGCCACCAACCCTGCCTCCGGGCGGCCAAGTCCACGGCCTTCAAGCGCGAGGAGCGCCGCAAGCACAAGGAGCAGAAGCGGGAGCGCAAGCGACAGGAGAACCTCGCCCTAGCGCTCGCGCAGTGGGAGCCCCTCGGCGCCCCACCCCGCCCGGCCGCCACCTCCACTCCTGGCCCGCCACCCGACGACAAACCCTGGCCGTGTGACCCGCCCTCTCCCGCGGACGCCGCGCCCTCCGCGGCCTGGGGCTGGGGCCCTCCGGCGGAACCCTCCGCCGACAGGGGCTGGGGCCTCCCAGCGGAACCGCCAGCGCAGCCCCCGGCAAGGTGCCCCCAGGCCGACGCGGTGAGGGCGTGCCGCGCATTATTTGGAGAGCACGCCGATAACGACGACGACGGGGAGGAGGGGGAGGAAGAGGAAGGGGATGTGGCCCGGTTCTTCGACGAGCTTCTGGAGAAAGACGCGGGCCTGAGGGGGTTCTACCAGGCGGAGCGGGAGACGGGGCGGTTCCTGTGCCTGGTGTGCGAGGGGGTCGGCGCCAGGGCGGGGAAGCGGTTCCCCGGCTGCGCGGCGCTGGTGCAGCACGCCGGCTCGGTCGCCCGGACCAAGAGGAGGCTCGCCCACCGCGCCTTCGCCGACGCCCTCGGCCGCCTGCTCGGCTGGGGCGCCGGCCGGACCACCCCTGTTCCGGTAAACATGTTACCTGGTTCCTGTCAAAATGTTGCTTAGTCTGTACCATGTCTAATTGTCTATCACATTGCTGAATTTTTTGTTGCAATTGTACGAAATGCAGGCTGATTGTGACAACGTTGGCGCTATTGATCAAGCTGAGCACTTGGATGCTTCTGAATGTGCAGAAATGGAGGTGGCCTAATTTAGCTCATCGTGCTAACTTAGAGATTCTTTCTTGGTCAGAAAGCTTGGAAATACATGGGATTTGGTTTGGTGTATTGATAACCTGGATGCTCATTGTCAACATCTGCGTGTAATCTAGTTCGATGCTCTGGTAACCTTGATGCTTGTTTTTAACATCTCAAGCTGGATCTAAAAGTTTCTGATTTGCAGTGCATCGTATTTCAGTTGTTGATTCCTGGTGTGTATTGATCTTGAGTTTGAAGGAAACGAAAGTAAATCTCTATGCTAACTGCTGAGAAGTATATGGAGTAGTTTCTTTTGTGAAGGAGGCCATTGTCTCCTTGTCCTGAAAACGAATTCACAAATCATAACTGCTGTCCGCAAGTATGAATATTCCAAACACAATCTACAATGATGTGATGACACGGCTTAAGATAGTACACATAAAGTAAACATACCACCACCTGATAAAGAAAACTTTAAGATTCATATCAGTGTCTTGTTAGAATTGATTTTTCATTTGTTGATTTTATCTTTTTCAAATGACGATAGATACTCCCTCTGTAACCTTTTGTAAGACGGCTTTTAGTAAAAAAAAAAACGTCTTATAAAGAAGTTACAGAGCGATCACAGTACTGTCACCCTGAACACCCCATAGCTACCAGTCAGGTGCCGCTGGAGTAATTAGCTGGAAGTTTTTCACTGAAGCAGCCATAACCCGGCCATGGATATTCAAGCACCAGCACCTCAAATGCTCGTGCCATTGTGCCAACTTATTATCTAGAGCCAACGAGCTCGGGATGCTGAGTTTCTCTGCCTCCTATGATCTATTGAGCCAACATGATCATCATTGGTATTATCATTATCACTATCACTAGGCATATGCTTATCATCAGATTGTGTCTCAGCATCAGAAATAGAAACATCATCATGATTCTCAATACTTTTTTCTATAATAGGTTCATCAGGAGTATGCAAAGTTTTATTCATACTCTTTTTCTTCTTCTTAAGTGACCTAGGTGCACTATCATTAACTCTCCGTGAGTCTTGTTCAATTCTCTCAATATGACCTTTAGGATATAGAGGACCCTGAGTCATTTTACCACCTATAGTAATTACCCCAACAACATGCTTATTAGTTTTTATTATGCAGCTCGTTAAACAAATCATTTTGTGATCCAACAAATTGTTCCAACCGAGTGTGAACCATAGCATAGTGCTTACGTAAGCCTTTACCACAATTGGAATTTCTAACAAGCACATCAGTTAAGCGTTCAATCATAACAAAGTGGTATATATACAAAGTGGTATATATGTACTTCTACTATATAGCAACCAAAAAAGAATCATTCCTCGATGATCAAATTAACCTCTCTCTCATCGGGTCAAAGTGATGGAGGACAACTCGCATGCCCACGGATGGAAGCGCCACATGCGAGTGAGTTCTTATATATAGGGCAACCACCGCTTGCATGGTATTGCGTGATGTTTGAATACCAATATAATGTACAACTTTGATGTGGCACATGCCTCAGGAACCGAAAAGTCCCCACATGGAGCGAGGTTATGACACGCATATATATATAGTACTCCCTCCGTCCGGATTTATTAGGCCTAAAGACAACTTCTCTTAGACCAAGACACATAGTAATTTGCTCACATTAATTATTTCATTCCACTCCCAATGCACTCTCTCACATGCATGCAGCCAATGAAAAAGCACACATGAAGTGTATTAACTTTTCAGCCATGGCACCAACAACAATAGCTTTCAATACAACCAATGAAATGGTTGCATGCATGCATCTTTCCAATGCGGGGCCTTATAAAAGGGGACATGCTTGTGATGCTGAGAGGCCTAATAAACCCGGACGGAGGGAGTATTCATGTTTCCCCCTCTTTGACATGTACATACTCCTATACCGTGCATATACGTAACACAAACCAAAAAAGAACCATCCTTGTTGGTCAAATTAACCTCTCTCTCTCTCGTTGTACGTTCAACTGGTCGACGACGACCTCGTGGGCCCACAGAGAGAGGCACATGCGAATGATGTCATAGGACAAAACCACTACGCGCATGCGCCCGTGTGTTATGTGATGTTTGAATACCCAATGCACAACTTTGACGTGGCACATGCTTCGCAAACCAGAAATGCACTACACCACGATGCGTGTAGCTCCCTCATTTCAAGCCGATGGGAGTGTGTACGCACGTGCTCGAACTTTGATATGGAATCGCACCATGATCCACACCACACACATGCCAAGATGAATCCACCTATTGGTCAAATGCCTCTCGTTGTCGGTGGAAACTGAAAACCTTTGCGGGCTAATGAATGGGCACGTCGCTGATAACCGCACGAGGGAGAGTGTCCGAGAGGACCACCAATGCATGCATGTGGCCCGAATATTATGTATGCAAGGTTGTGTAATGCTTAAATAACCAATTCACGACTTTAATGTGGCATATATGACTCACAAAATGATCAATAATCCTACACGGAGGTTCACGACTCATAGTGTACTGTCGGACCCCTCCCCCCACCCCCCACACACAAAGACACACACACCCCGCACCACCACAGCCACTCTGAGGCATGTCAAACTTTTTCTGCAGTGAACGTGCGACGAAAGGCGGAGTGTTGTGTTAATTTTTTTAAAAAACAAATAGACATCATTCGACCATTTTTATACATCGATTGATTTCCTAGGGATTTAATGTGCAAAAATCAAATTTGAGCTACATGTGCACCAAAATGGGTTGTAAAATCATATGTGTCCCTAGGTGCATGTTTCCCTGTGCAAGAGATGTCAAAATATTGAGATTTTTTTTAAAAAATCCAGTAAATCCAAAACTTAGTTGAAATTCATGAAACTTATCGTGGTGTCATATATGGACACCAGTAGACTGTGATATTGTATTTTTTTCGTCAATGAGACCCGTTTTGATATAATCTTCTTACAAACGGGAGATTATTAAAAACTGGAAACCAATATCTCATACGGATTATTTATTCGGACCGTGTGTGTTAGACCGTGCCATGCTTCGGTTAAGCAGTAAAGCGGCAGAATGAATCATCAATAAACCAAAAAATATATATGCTGTAACACGCCCCGTGTGCCGTGCGAGCAGGCGTGAGTTGACGGGACGCATGCGAGCAGTCCGCCGCACAGGCATACTGGGAGCGTGTGTGCATGTGTGCGTATTAACGGGAGGCGTGCGAGTAGCCGTGTGAAATGATGGTAGGAATGGCAGAAGTCCGCCGCGCACCAGAGGCGAGACAACTTTTAATCGTAGCCTGCCTCGCTCCCACTGGTCTGTATTAATTGCACGCCCGAGCCGCCGGCCATAATAGGAGGCTGCACCCCCGGTCCATAGTGGTCACCAACGTCTAGACTCTGGAGTGTATGAGGATGTCACCGAAGCGCACCATCGAAGGGAGTTGCGACGCTGGGGCTGGTGAAGCACCCGCGCAACGCGTGAAGCTGGGCACAGAGGTTGTCGTCGCCGCCGCCGAGGTCTCGCGTGGGCAGCAGCACGACCTTGACTTCGTCGGTGCCATCGTGCCCCCCCTCAGCCGGAGCCGGAGGTTAACAACAACTTCGGCAACGACCGCGACTCCGACGGAAAACCGGTTAGTCATCTATATACCCATTTGTGCGGCAAACATATCATGTGTTTTCTCTGGTTACTCCTCCCCCTCTATAATTTTTCTGGAATACAAATCCTATAGTTATGTTCTCTCAGTCCATGAAATGAGAGTAATTAAGATCCGTTAGATGCATGTAGTGTATTGATTGTTTAAATATTATCCGTATAGAGTTAGTGATTAATTGTTTGTTCTGTACAAATGATTTTTGTTAATAATCCGACTAGGGTTAGCTTGCGTGCTAATAATTCGTGGCCAGATCTTGAGAATTGATTTTGAATGTCCTACATATATGTTTGTGCCTTTTTTCTTCCAGATCTTGAGAATTGATTTTGAATGTCCTACATGTATGTTTATGCCACTTTTTCTTTCAGATTGGTATGTACATAGATGAGGCTCTGGCCAGTGTCGTCGCCGGATGTAGATCTTGGACCCGGCTGCGCGGCCAGAAGCGGCCATGCCCCCTGGACCTGAGGAACGAGTAGAATCTCCGGCGGACCGCATCAGCGATCTCCCGGACGACATCCTTGGGGAGATCATCTCCCTTCTCCCCACCAAGGATGGCTGCCGCACACAAGTCCTCCCATCTCGATGGCGCACTCTGTGGCGCGCCACGCCTCTTAATGTCGACTGTCGTCAGCTATCTGTCGATGATGATTATGAACTCCCCGGAGCCATCATCTCCTCCCACCAGGCCTCCGTTAAACGCATCTGCATCCCGGCATGCTACATGCTGGACATACCTTGCATGGTGGCCGCCTGGCTGACATCCCGTCCATTCGATAAACTCTAGCAGCTTGAGTTCTACCATGACTACAGTGATAGGTTACCACCAAGAGCTGCATCTGTGCCCTCACCATCGATGCCCATATCATGGTTTTCCTCCTCTCTCCACACCGTCACCTTGACCCGGTGCCATCTAGTAGACAATCTGGAACATATGCTTTGACTCCCACTGCTGAAAAAACTTGCGCTTGTGTTGGTTGATCTGTCGATGGCCTCACTTCACAGCATCATCCACTCCAGCTGCCCTGCACTGGAGCGCTTGGTGCTTGTTTTTGGACTAGGAATCCATATCCCTTGTCTCAAAATAAAGTCGCATTACCTTGTAAGCATTGGAATTCATTTTGAAGGACAGGAGCTCATCATCAAAGATGCCCATTCACTTCAAAGGTTGCTCCTTGATTGTTGTTATAAACCTTCGCAAATAACTGTGGTCTCTGTGCCTAAACTGGACACCTTGGGTGTACTTCCTCATGCGTTTGAATGTTACAAGTTGGTGGTTGGCTCCACACTTGTTCAGGTACTGTATGTTATCCATGTACATTTTAGTAATCTACATTTTTCATTTGTGCGCATAAGTTAA